CTTTGCAAAGCTGGCTGAGGAGTTCTGGGAGTTGAAGTCCACACATCTTAAAGTTGCCAAGATTGAGGAACAGTGGCCTATAGTATTTGCAGTTCAGTAGATAATCCACAAGTTGAGACACACAATCTTCTTTTTTGATGCTTTGTGATCATGATGCTGGTGTCTGTAGCAAGCTCCATTTTCTATCATTTGGGTGCAGCTTCTGTAGCCATTGAGGCAGATATTCTGATCCCGGGAGATCACATAATGCCAAGATGAGTTGAACATTAAATCTGTTTCCACTGAATTTTTCTCTTGGAGATACAATGAAATATTTTGAACTTTTAAAGATTGGTAGCACTCTGTGCTTTAAATAGTCCAGTGAACATTATCCAGTTGCAACTCCCTATGAGTGAATGGTTATGATTTTTTGCAGGAATGTTTGAAATACAGAAAAGGGTTGTATTAGAGTGCCTTTAAACCACAGAGGTTCTCCCCTTGCTTTCCTTTGCAGCTTCTCTCTCACTTACCTAGTTTAGTGCTAACTATAATTTGTATTATACCAACTAACAAACCATGGTTAATAATAGGGCTTCTTTCTCTACTGCAGTGCTTAATTTGAAATAATCATATACAGTATATTTAAACAAAATAACAGATCTGACATCTATTATGCTATGGGGCTAAACATGTGATAGTTCCTCTTCAACTTAAATTCTGGTTACAGCTCCTTCCAAGATCTCCTTTATCTCTTGTGCCATGAAAGAAACTTTGGGCATCCCAGCCCTATGCCAATTAATTTACTCTTCCCATGCTGGATCAGATCTTTATTTAGTAGTACTTTCTGCCAGTGAAATGCTTCTAAAAGTCTCACACAAAGGGAAGGATGAAAGTCAGAGGTACCGTTCCTAGAATGTATTTGACTTTTCATCTTGGGACATTCCTGTTGGTGGACACGTGGTCCAAAGTATCTGCAACAACCACATCCTCACCAAAACTCCTGCTTCAATTTGCACAAACCAATTTAGCCAGGAGATGTTCTGCAAACTATCTCATCCTCCTTTAAGACTGGCAGACTCACTGCATTAGTGCTAATTCCAGCTAAACATGATGCAAATATAACTGCTTCCCAGGTCCTTAATCCCTTTTCTTTCCATCAAATTAAAGTGTACAGTTTGGTGGTAACTTTTGGAGACTGAACCCAATGTTTTTGGTGTTAATGTTTAACTCATCTTGGGATTATGTGAAACAGACCATGCACCCCTAAACAAAATCTGCCAACTACATGATAAACCATCTTTATGTTTCTGCTCAAAACATGATCAGGCTAGTCCTATATGCTGATGTATAAATCACACTTTTTTCTATGACGCCAAAGATGGAAGAGAGGGAAAGAAAGGCAGGAACCAGTGACTGCAAGATACCATTTGTAAAGTCTTGGCCTCCTCGCAGGAGTGAGGAACACTATTTAAACTCTTCTTCACTAAGCAAAACTAAAGTCTGGGGCTGCCACTGGGTCATGTGCACCCCACTTTCCTTGGCAGCCAATTCCACCTACTTCTAAAGTATTTAGAAGTAAAGTATCTAAAGTATTTAGAAGAGGACAACCAGACAATTGTATTGCTAGGTATGAGGAAAGCAGATCAGTTAATATAGAGAAAGGAAACTAGACTCTTCTGGTATTTTTCTGGTGGCTGGATTTGCAAAAAAAATTTGGCAAGCATTTTGAAGACATGGATGGTGAAGTTTTTGAAAAGACAAATATGGCAAGGCTCATATACTGGGAGACTTGTTCCTTGAATAAGAGTTAGTTAGAATCCTACATGCAATCTTTTGCCAACCCAGAACTCCTATCTGCCTGCTGGATCAGCCATTGCCCCACATTTTTCATCCAGCATGTGTGAACATAGCCTTTCTGGGCCTTCAAAGAATGTATTTTCTCCTTTTCCGTGGGAAGTATGTGGATTTTCCGTTCTACTGTAATATTTTCCACACCCTACTCCAAAGTTTTCATGTAGAGGAAAAAGATGTTTGGCCAGAACTAGATTTAATTTAGAAGTGAGCATATGTATGGGGAGGTGTGAAAGAGGAAAGAAGATCTATTGCTTTGAAGAGAGCAATATATTGTATTAATGACTGCAAGATGTTTGAGAATGCCCCTGCCCCCTTTCCTCTCTTCCATAAAAACAATAACTTTTTCCCCCCAGACATGTGAAATGCTAAATTAGTTTTGTTCCACAACATACTGGGCTCAGAACACTGGAACACAATTGTGCAAAACCAGGGCTGTGGCAGGAGGGTATACCGGGAAGAAGGTGAGGAGTCCATATTCCTAGATCTTATGCAGAAGCTCCCTTTGTACAGACAAGCCTTCCTAAGCAGGGTAGCCTTCAAATATGGACTTTATTCATATCAATCAAATTTATACCCAGCTGCAGTCACAGGTCTCTCGGCAGCTCACAAAATAGGAATATATAGTAACAATATAAAAACATAAGGCACAAGACATAAATAAAAGCCAGAGTCAACACATGGCATCAGGCCCCAAAACTCTTCAAGAAAAGCTCAGTCTTCAGCTTTTTTCGGAAGGCAGACAATGTCAGAGATAGACAAACCTCCAACAGAAGGGCTAGCCCCATCCCCGAAAAGCAACGCTTCTAGGCTTTGGACCTCCTGACTTCCTAGTAACAGGGACAACCAGCTGCTTGTCCCAGCACAATCAAAGCAGTCAGGCCGACTCTAGTGGGGAGAGGCAATCCTGCAAGCCACCTAGCACCAAGCCATAAAGGGCTTTATAAGTTGAAACCAGCACTTTAAATTGCACCCAGACTTCAGCTACCAGCATGGTCTCTGCTGAGAATTCTGGGAATTGGTCCACACATCTGGAAAGTGTCCAGATTGGGGAAGACTGTACTAGAATAGCTCCAAAAAGGCCAGGGGGTTGGAGATCAGTCTGTAGAGATGCTATAGCACAGACTGGAGTGGCTGTTCTTGGGGAAAAAGACAACCATCCTAATCTTAGTTTTCACTGAATCCAGGATAAGTCAGCTAAATAAACAAAAGATGTGAACAGCTGTGACCACAAGTCTGACTCTGAAATAGGATTTTTTTCCCTTGTGGATTCCTCCCTTCTTCACTTGTTTCTTTAATAGCTTCATTTTGCCCCTAGGTGCAATACTCTTCTTTTCCCTCCCTGTTTAATTCTGGACCTCACCCACCTCTGCTGCTTCCCTAATAATTAAGAGAAGGGTTCTCCCCCAACCTGTCTTTGAAAACAAAGGATGAGATACTTTCCAGCTGCAGGCAAAGTGGGAGCAAAAAGCTGCTTCCTACCTTACCACCTTCCTCTTTGGTCCAATGATAACCAACCAGAGATGATTAGGGAGCAGCAGAGACGGAGGCCAGCAGAAACAGATCTGCTTTGTAGCAAGAAGACTCATTTGGAGACTCCTCATTGAGTCCTCTATAATTCAATGCTTGTAATTTTGCTGTAGATACAGTTTACAAGTCATTTGTGGGGCAGGGGTGGGGAGAGAAGCAGATCAGCAGAGGATTCCTCCCTGCATCCCAAGTTTTGGACCAAAGCCACAACAAAATATACAGTTGCCTAAATGGTGGCATCCTCATCCTTGCTGAATACTATATGTTTAAGTACAGGTTGGATAGCCACTGGTCCGGGATGGCTGCTTAAATCATTATGATTCTACTCCCCAAATTATAAAACTAAACGCTTGGGAAGAGGACAGCAACCAAGAGTGAATCAGTATGCAGAAAGTCTGAGAACTCATTTCAATTCCGATATTCAGAATTATTCCGTTCTGAAATCTTTAATTCCAACACTATCTTTTGCACCTTGGCTTCAGTTGGTGAATTTTAGGCTTGACATCAAAAAATAGATCCCACAAACCTGCTACCTGCTCTAGCTCTCTTCTGTCCTAAGGCCTTATTATGCCCACAATTCAAAATTAAGTGCACTTTAATCATGTGCATAGGTATACAGCCTAAAAAGCAAAGGTGAAGCATGAAGAAAGGTAATGTGATAGAACACTTGTTTCACACTCATGAGGTCCCAGGATCAACCCCTGGGGTATCCAGAGAAAACCTTTGATTTCCTCAGCATTTGAAAACCTCAGCATTCTAGAAAATTTGTGATATCACAGGTAGTCCTCACTTAATGACCGCAATTGGGACTGGCAACTCTGTCACTAAGCAATGCGGTGTTAAATGAAATGTCATGTGACCATGCTGGACTTACGTCAGTTCCACTGCAGTCGTTAAGCAAATCATCTGAGATCGTTAAGCGCAACATCACGTGACTGTGACTTGTGACTTCCCCATTGATTTTGCTTGTTGGAAGTTGGCTGTGAAAGTTGTAAATGGTGATCACGCAACCATGGGACATTGCAACCATTATAAATGTGCACTGGTTGCGAAGTACCCAAAATCATGATCACGTGACCATGGGGACACTGCAATGGCTGCAAATTCGAGGACTGGCTGTAAACCTATTTTTTCAGTGCCGTTGTAACCTTGAACAGTCACTGAATGAGGCAGTCAGTAAGTGAGGACTACCTGAATATAAGGAAAGAAAGGAATCCCTGTTTCCAACTAGCTTGCAATTACATTTTTAACTATAGCAGGAAATATCAACATGAAAGTAGAGAAGGAGGTTAGAAAAACTAAAGAATTGAAAAAGCATAAGCATGTAGGCAAACGTACTTAAAGTAAGATCTTTAATCTTAAGCCAGAGAATTTACCGTACACCATTTCCTGCAGTTATTAGAAAATGTACAAGGGCAGATGCCAATTTTGAGCAGAAGACCATTTGTGAGATGGAACTTTGGGCTTCTTTCCTCCTTCTCTAACCCTCTGAATCAGATCTGAAGAAGCACAAAGGCTGTAAGGCAGAAGGGCATCTGCTCTCTTAAAGTTCCATCTACAGCCCTAGGTTCAGTTAACCCCATTCAAAACAATGGCCAAATCTTATTTTCTAATAGTACAGATAAGTTTGAGTCCCAGGGCATATCCTTTGATGTCTCAGCTGGTGATGTTTCTCTATTATTCTATGGACAGACAGCTTAGTTCTGGATATCTGTGACAGCAGAAAAGAACCATTAGGGAGATGGGGAGGTGGCATGCCATGTAGCTAGATAATTGGCAGGAAGACCAGAAGAGGAAGGGAAGATCATGCAGTTGTATTACTCCTGCTACTGACCGTGTCAAATTAGAATAACATGAAGTATGGATTAGCCCTGAAATTAAGTATTTTTGGATTGTAGCAATACCAGTAGGTATCGCTGTGCTGGAGAAGACTCTTAGGAGTCCCTTGGACTGCTAGAAGTTCAAACCAGTCAATCTTAAAGGAAATTAACCCTGATTGC